CCGATTTTAATCCAACTTACCATAAATCTTCTTTATCTTACTGGCTATTGCATGACAAGCTCCTTTTTTAAAAAAAATTTTTAACAATTGTTTTTGAACATTGTTTATAAAAAAGTGATTTTTTTCAAAATGGTCTCTTCGTCATGTAAAGCGTATTTGCGTATTTTAACGGTAAAAATTTTGATTTTAGTTAAAATTGACCTGCAGGCTGTACGGCGCAAAATCAAAGATGCAACTTTAAACGCCTGTAACGCCGCCATTTTGTAATATTTTGTAATAGAAGTTTTTTTTATAAAGCTTATATTGTGTACTTTAAGATATGCTTTACTTTAATTCAATAAACTTTACCAGGTTTTTTAAAAAAATTCTTGATAAAACGTGCATTTACACGAGTTTCCCCGCTTCACACTAGAACTACCGAAGATCATGCATACCCAGAACTATCACCGGGACATTTTGTTATATGATTCATTTATGTTTTTTTATTAACATTTACATGTTAGAAAAATAAAATGACACATGATTTTCATAGGTTTTTTCACGTAGATTACGAAACCTCACTAAATAAGACCTTTGTCATAAAATCCATGTCAATTTCCTAAAAGATTTTATCTACGTAGCAAACTAATACAACACGAAGTTGAAAACAATTCTTTAACTTCATGTTTGTTAACTGTTACTTGGCAATAAAGTAATTTACAAAAAAATATTTGATTAAATATTTTGATTATTCAAATAAATTTAACCTGAATCCATAATTTTTTACTTCATACTTTCCACTTCAAAAAGTACTTATAATATAATTTCTATTTTTGAATTTTAACAGCGAAACAATTGTGCTAACCTAAATCTGTGAAACTGATACATTTTTTGAGTCACCCAGTAACTTAAAAATTTTTTTAAGTGAATGTAGCTTAAAATAGCTACGTAGCGAAATCTTCGTAGCACTGTTGCTATTCGTAACCCCATTCCTGCATTGTCATCCATTAATTAATAATTTAATTATATTATTTTTCTATTCATATTTACTTTTTAAATAATTGCCATTGTAACGTTAAATGTTTTTGTTACGGACGGATTTCCGTAATTTTTTAATTTTTTTTGCTAAATATTATTCATTAGAAATAATATTTATGTTTATATTTTTATATTATATTGTTATTATATTATAATACTTATACACCTACAACATGAACAACACAAATACATTCACCTATTAATTATCGGGAACTAGAATATTTAAATAATACTTCTAAATAATTCAATTAATATTTATAATTTCATTTTTTTTATTATTTTATTTAATTTCCAAATCAAAATTATTTCGCAAATGAATTCAGATTATTGAACCTCATATTGCGAAATAATTTGAACTAAATTATTGATCGATTGCACAAGTTGTGGGACTTACACTGTAAAGAGTTGCCACATTATTTTGGAAAATGAGGAAACATATGAAGTATAAAGGTACATTAGGTGGTTGAACCGATCACGCATACCAACAGGGCGTGATCGTTGCCACCAAATTATTATTCGGGGAGTCTTATTTTATATTTCCCGCAAGGGGGACGTATTACCGGCAAAAAGGCGGAAGAATTTTTATTTAAGTTTTGTTCCCACCAAAGGTGGTTGATTAAGTTATTTACTCCCCACAGAAAGGGTAGAGTCTACGAAATTATCTCAACAATACAGTGAAAATTCCACATTTGTAAAATCAATTGTTATATGAAAGTTCTTAAAAATTAAAAAGAAGGATAAATTAATTATCAAATGCAAAGTGCTATAATTGTTAAAAGTGCAAGTTACGATTAAATTCAGAAAGTGTTTTATTTTGTTTATAACAACAATTGTCTATATTTCAAAACTAACTGTTTGGAAAATTCAGGTTTGGTGAACCCAAACCTCTGAATTTTTAATAAGCAGACTTTGAAATATTAAAATAATTGTTGCAAGTCAATAAATATTAAAGGTTAAATAAAAGGAATTTATTAGAGAACAGAGGAAGAAAGGATATACTTCCGCATGTTTGTGAATCATATATATATATATATATATATATATATATATATATATATTTGAAATCCGAAGTTCAAATATCAAACGTTGAAAAGTAATTAGATACTTTTCAGTATCTTTATTTTATTATTATTCTGGTGAGTAGCTTCAATGCTATATATATATATATATATATTAATTTAAACATATATAAAATCTAAATACGATAAACAAACACCATTTAACACACACTATCACACTCACTCTAAATACACAAATTGTTTCTCTTGTTGTCAAGATCTTTATTTTGTTATTGGTTATTTTTATTTGTTGTATTTACGACAAATAATATTTATTTGTGAGACTTGAATTTAAAATTCAAGTAGCTTAAATTAGCAAAGTTTCTGATTGTAATCATTTTATATTAAAGATTTTAATTGGGGAATTGAATGTACACATTTTGGGGGTTGTATGAATAAATGTTATATTATTTTATGTTAATTCAATTCTCAATTTATTTAGTCACCTTTATTTGTGTTATCTCATTTCTTTCTTTGTGAATATTTTCAACAAAATACCGTCTACCCGGGGTGTTGAATAGATAACACTCTAAGCGACAGTCCACTACCCTTTTTCTATCTTGTGTAGCGAAGAGCAATTACGCTTACCGAATAAGCGGGTTGTTAATAATAAAAATTAGTGTTGATTCTAATCTTATTATTTTTCTTCAAAATTATTTTACTTTATTTTATTTTAATTTTTGTTAATCAACATCCGTCTTTAACAGTTTTTATACTATTTTCATACTAGTTCTCAATTTCTCCTCAGTGTCATTTTTATACGTACATTTTTTTACTATTTAGTAGAACATTCCGTGAACTTAAAATATGATCACAGTTTAACTGTCGAAAGCAATAATGCTCAAATATTGCCAATATTGTTGCAAATTTTAGGTGAAGTGTGAGGTGAGTGTTATCAAAAATTTTGTATGACGCTCGTGTGTAAAATAAATGATTATGCTCGCCTTCGTCTTGTGTTACAAATATCACACTCTTAGCACTTGTATATTAAATAACTATTTTTGTCAAAAATAACTTTATCTACGAGGGGAAATTTACGCTGGTAGTCAAGTGTACACTTGCCTGGTAATACTCAGTAATACCTGTAATATTTTGTAATGTCTTGTAATAATAAGTATTATTGTGTAATACCATGTAATACTGTGTAATACTTGAAATATTGTGGTATTATGGTGTAATACCTTAAATAATTTAAAGAAAATCCAACAAAAAATTGTTAATATAAGTAAAATTTTTAAACACTTATTCAAATGTAGCGCGGGAGTTGATGCTGAACTATAGCAACTTTCCCATAGATGGCGGTATCGAATGTTTACAGAATCAAATCAGGAGATGGTTCTATAGTAATTGGCCAAATTTTAGCTTTTAGCTACATTACCGGAATACAGGCGAACCTCTCATAAGACAACCTCTAATAAGACAAATTTCCCCTGTTATGTTCCCCTACCCTAAAACTTTAGATATATATTGCGTCATGCGGTGCATATGGCTGACAATGTAAACTGAAAATAACCTGCCTAAAAACGTGCAAGAAACCTCGATCTGTGATCAAAGTTTTAGGTATGGACAAAATGCAAAAAAGAAATTTATGATTACTTTCTGTAATTTCTACTATTTTGTATATTCATCTCTTTATTTCTTCTAACATAATTTCCAATAAACTCCAACATTATTTTGAAATAGACCGCTGTGCGCAAACGGTCAATGCGTATCAATTTCTTCTCACGCGAAAATCTGCTTTAAGAGAACCCCCAACTAAAATTGTCTTATGAGAGGTATCTCTGTAAGTAAAAAAATCGAGAATACATCTGCTCCTATAATTACACCGAAACAAAATGCACGAGGCTTAGGTTGTTTGTGTTAGTGGTTTAAGATAACAGAAATACAAATATTAAAAGTTATAAACATGGATGCTCACGGATATTATAATATAGAAAATTATATTTGTTCAGTTAAAAGTTAAAACTAATACCGTAATTTTCTATTGCAGTGCGTTTGTATCAGTTTCGGTGACCAAAATTACGTTTATTTTGAAGATACTTTGACCGCCGAAATTGGAGCCAATGGAAATATTAAAAATGTTTCATTTATGGTGAGGGAACAAATTTTATATCAAATAATTAAATTAATAATTTTTTAAATGTGCATCTTCATTAGTAATTGTATCAAAAAAAGATTAAAATAATTTTTTTCAATTATATTGCAACAGTTATATTAAATATAATAGTAATGATAGTTTTTTATGAACGCGCCGTAATTGATGCACTTACCCTAATATGTAAAAATATTTAATTATTTATTTCTCTATTTCTCATTTTAAAGTTTTGCTCTTAAATAAATAATTTTAAGTAATTTTGTTGAAATTTATTCGTGTAAGAAAGTGCTATTTGACGTGTAATATTTTTTGTTATAAAGGGTAATACTTAGTAATATATGTGTAACACTTTGTAATACAGTAATATTTTGGTAGTAATATGTAATACTTGTAAAAAGTATAATACTAAGGTAATAATGGTAATATGTGTAGTTGTAGTCAAGTGTACACAATTTTTACTAGTAAATTCCCCCTCGTTTATCTACCACTAATGCGAGCACAATTCAACGGTACCGGATGCACAGAATCTGTTATTTTGAGAGGTATAGGGAGATAATTATTCTCTTATGCTAAGCAGTATAAGTAGAAGTATCAACATTGTAAATAAAAATTTGCTTTTATATATAGAGAAAAAGGAGTTGTTGCATTGAGGAAACGGATTGTTTTATTGGTATCATAATTACGAATTGCTAGTAGGAAACAAAAAATTAAATTCGAGAACAAATATTAGGTTTTATTTAACCACTGAACTAAATAATTGTGTTTAAAGTAAGACTATGCTTATATTATTTTATAAAGGGAAAACTTTTGTTATAATTTTTGGAACTTACTTTTTGAGCAGCCTGAACCGAACCATCCAACATTACAGTAACAATATTTTGTTGGTGGAGTAGTACCGCCATTATCAATGCAAGCACCCTGCGTCCCACAGTCTGAGTCATCCATGCACTCTTCTTTGTATTGGCACTTAGCACCATGATAAAACAAATCACATCTGCATCTGCCTAACAGGTACCTTCCATGACCACTACAATTTTCTCTATACGTTTTTCTGTCGATAATCTGAAAATAAAATACATTTTCAAATGTATTTATTAGACTGATTTTATTACCTACAGATAAAATGTCAATTTTTATATACCAACAGTTTTGAAGATAGTAAGGCGACCTTTCCATCTATGAATAAAAGGTTATTATGGAATGTTTTAAGAGAAAAGGTGTTGGATCAAAGTTGGTAGAAGGAATAAAGAAATTTTATGACGATACAAAAAAGAAGTATAGAGTTTGTATGTATTTTCTAAATTAATAGGGGGAGCAATTTCCCTCTGGTCACATTGACTCTCACGTAACTAAATATAGAGTGTGTAGGGGAGAGTTGTCAGGGTTGGACAGTGGTGAGGGTTGAGCCATAGCATTTATTTTGTTTTATCACACTAGCGTCATTTGTCTTTGTATGTAAATACTTGTTAGCAATGTCAGCAAACTTTTCACATGTATTGCAGTGAAGTATACGGTCAATGAAGGCGTATTATGCGAGTCAGTGCTATAGGCTCAAAAAAAACTTTTTTGTTGTTTCAAAAGAAGACAATTAAGTGCAGAAAAAATATGTCAAAGATAAAGTTGACTAAAATTGTTCATTATGATGTTATGTAAAAATGTGGAGCGTAATTTGGTGTTTGTATCACGCGTTTATTTTGTGTGTGATATGACGCTAAACGATTCGTGAGTCAGGGATGAGCCACCGAAAAACTTAACAATTATAAAGCTTTCTTGCAATGGAAATTCATTTGTCTATTTAAAGAAGTGTCAAAAACTTCACTTCCATTGGAGAGAAAAGAAATACGAATTTTTTATAATCTTTTTTCACTTTTTAGACCAGCTTCGCGATACAAGCGCAAATTTGAAAATTACACAATAAGGGCTTTTTATTTCAATTTCGTGGAATCTTTACTCATTTCTAAGTGTATTTGAGAGTCATTCTATCATTTGAAGGCCATTATTAATTAATCATTTATCTACATATTTCATTGATTTTCTACAGTGGCGAGTAAAAGACGCGAAACAGATACTCTTTTCCTACAAGCACTGAAAAAACGAAAGGAAAGCCATATTTTTAAACTAATTTAATGTCGATACCATGATCACTGTTATGCTTCAACATTTGTAATTCTAAAGGAAAATTGAGAAATTTTTATTAAAATCTACAATGGGCTTGGATTAACTTTAACCAAAAATTATTGAACCATCTCGGCTTTCTTCAGATATTAATTCCACATTACTTTCTGAGTAATTTGAACATAAGATGAAAAAAATCGGTAGAGGGATTTTTGAATACACACAATTTTTGTGTTTTTTAAAATTTTTATAGTACATTGTTTACTTTGAAACAGTTGAGTATTAATCAATTCGATTTCTAATCATGCATAGATTCTATCTGAAGTTGTCGAGTATTGAAATTAGAAGTGTCAATTAAAATTCAATGTTTGTTAATAATCTTGTATAAGGGTGATTCTCCACGATACGTACAATTCCATGTTCCTGCTGTTTTGAGGGTTTCGTTCATGCAGAGAACCGAAAGGGAACCTATCGAGCTCAAACTTGGCGTACATACGCATTTTTGCGAGTAGGTTAAACGAAAATTATAGCGAATTCGATTGGAATTGAATTGAATATAGTTATAGTCCAAAAACTCGAAATTTCGGTAAAAAACGTGTCCCTCCTTAACTTTTACAGTTTTGGAGCTAAGACGTTCAAACTTCGCATACATACGTATTTTTTGCGAGTAGATTAAAGGAAAATCATACCAAACCCAATTGGAATTGAATTGCATATAGTTATATTTGAAAAACTTGAAATTTCTGAAAAAAGCGTGTCCCCCGTGTTAACTTTCACAGTTTTGTAGCTAAGAAGCTGAAACTTGAAACAAATTTAATTTCACGTGTACATTTTACGAAAAACATAGCTAACCCATTTGAAATTCACTTAAATATTGCTTCGCTACAAAAACTCAAAATTCCTGAAAAAAGTTGTAATGATAGTGTATCTAAGTATAGTCGCCTGGCGAAAAGAGAGAAAGTAGACAGCGTAAATAGTAGTGTCACTCTCTTCCCCCCACCACTCGCTGTCACCTAGCTGCTAGTGATATACCTTTCGTCTCGCACCTTTTCCTCAGTCTTTTTCCAACTCGTCGAGAGGTGCTTCTCTGACGATTGGAAGCGACTCACTCCTGGCTACCTTGTACTCAGTAGAGGTGCGTCTCTCTGAACACCAGAGCCTTCCTCACTTCCTAGAAGGAGCTGTACTTGTTCCTGTAGGCGCTCCTCGGAACAGTAACACCCTTCGCTTTCCTTCCTCCTGGTGAACCGGACTTCCTATGTGCGCTTCCGTGGAAGACTGGTGAACCAGGTGACCCACGCATCTACCAGGACCATTCTAGTCGAGTAGAGGCGCTCCTCTCTTGACAAAGATGATTCACTAGGTCGATTCCTCATCTCGAGGCGCTTCTCGGGTGGACGAGACACCTAGTGAATATTTCTTTGCACTAGCTTCCCGTCGGACATGAATATTGGAACTAAATCCAATATCTAACTTCTTCCCGATTACGAATAATAATCGCCCTAGCGTTTATGACCCTAGTATCCGTCCGTACCGTCGTCTAGGGGGTAAATTTTTAGAATGTACCCCACGTGAAAGTAATATGCGTCGTCCTGATCAACATCTTCGCGAACGTGGTAAATATGTTTAAATCCGTTTTATTCTGGATTAATGACGAGCGCGATCGGAGCTCAACGAACGCTCCTCTAGAACAGCTAGTTCTTTCATCGTTATGTTTTCTAGAGATTAGTATTTTATTTGCATTGTATAGATTCTTTCGTTCTCATAATATTTTATGTAATAATTCATTTTGTATATTTTATTATTCTTTTATTTAAACAATATATTCTCTTTCGAAGGTTTAAATAAAGACTCGTCAATGACTACACCTCTCCTCTACATCATAGTAAGAAATAGTTTCGAAATTAATCGTAACATAGATGGCGCTTCACGCCATCTTTGTGAAATCTATTAAAGTAACTAGTCAAAATAGGTACCCGGACTCCATCCGGCGAGCAAATACTTTGGCAATAAAAGTCAGATCATTACAAAGTTCAAAATTCCTTTTTATCTGAAGTTATTAATTTTTAGCCAACCATTTCATACTTTGTACATATAAATGTATATATTAACAAGCAAATTGAAAAAAAATTATTATTTTTAACCATATATGAACATTTAAATAATCGTGAACGGAACCCTAGGTAAGCGAATGTAACTCGTACTTGACCAATTTTTTAAGAAATAAATTGTACATATTGTAATTAATCCAACGACGTGAAAGCAAGTAAAATCAAGAAAATTATAATAAACTGGACATAAACATTAATAAAGTGTGATTTACATGGTTTGTTTTATTGTGTGTATATTTAATTCGTGATTTAATTCTCAAATTTTTAGAATAATTGACTGGGTAAAAAATATACGTCCATTTGGAAAAATTTCATGTAATACGACAAACTCATCCATTTTTTATACTTTTACATCTAAAGAAAGGTTTCAAATTATTCTTTTTATTAATAAATATATAAAATTATTTAGGTATTTGAAATAATATTTAAATTTAAATAGATTATTTTAATATCGTAAATAAATCAAGCTTTGTGATTATGTTAAATGCAACTACATCTTATATTTTTTTCTAGTTATATTTATTGTTTATTAAAATAATCGAATATTATAGTTCATTCCAATGGAACGTTTGAAATGTTTTAAATGCAATCAGTTTGTAAACGAGGGATGGAATGAATATTTAAAACATATACAGTTTATCTTTAAATGAATTTGATAAATTGTAAATTATTAAATATTTAATCATCATTTTTTAACTAGACTTAATTTGAACTCAAAATTTATGAATAGGAATTATCACAAAAAACTTATATATTAAAAACTATAATTTCATATATATTTTATCATTGCAATAGTTGGACTTTAACTAAAAATGTTTGACAAATATTTTTGTATTTAAATGAAGTACGTGATTCCATCGATCTAACCAAGTGTACTGAAACTTTTTAAGCCTACTATGAGACAGTTTTAAAAACAAATTGCCAGAAGGTACCCGAGGTTATTTGACTAGGAAAAGGTGGGGTAATGGGAGCTTTTAAAGTTCAAGTACACAGAGACTTTGAATTTCGTGGAAATAACTCGGAAAATTTGAACAATCTTCCTGCATGTCATACGAAGACAAACGGTCACATTTCTGACAGATTTGTAGAAACTACATGGAAAATCTACCTAACCAGGGTACCGTCACCATATTGGATTCACCATTTTGAATTTTTTAAATCTGACGCCAGAGTCGTAATCAGCGACCCAAAAACCCTCAAGTACCAAATTTCAAGCGAATCGGAACAATTTATAAAATATCCAACATTTTTGGTCTGCCATATTGGATCCGCCATTTTTAAATTGAAGAATCTGTTTAAGTAGTAAGTAAATTTAACTTCTAAATTGTAATCCATGGTCATAACTTTAAAACTAGCTCACACTTTTCCATTATCTCACAAAATGTACCGAAAAAGTAAGTTTTTTGAGGTTAGAAAGAAAAAAACGAACCAACTTTTGAATTTTGACCCCGCATTCGGATTCAGCGACCCAAAATACGATAGAAATGACTAGTATTCCACTGTTTCAAAGTAAAAAATGTACTATAAAATGTTAAAAATACACTAAAATCGAGTTAATTCAAAAATCTTTGTATCGGAGGGATGGGTCAATCCTAGTCCACCGATAGTCGAATTGGAGTTGTAGATTCATAATTGGTAAAGGGTTGAAATTTTAAATGGAAACAAGATACCAATATATTTTAAAAGGATGAACAATGAGTAGTTGTCAGTAGAGAGTTTGGGTAATATGAGGAAAAGGTTAGTATAAACAAATTTTGCTGAAGATTTTTCTAGAAATATTTTGAATTTTCGATTTTTGGCGAAGCTAGAATGGGCATAAAGGTATCGGAAAAAAAGCTCTTACTTTCGGCGGATGCGTTAAATATCTTTAGATTATTTAGATTCTGGCGCATTTGTAAAAAGATTTGTTTACTAATATTTTAATCGTTTACTTACGTCGACATTGGAACACGACCAAAATCGGTAAGATGGACCCCATTCCTCAGCTTCTCGAAGCAATCTCACCGTGCAGTCAGTACAAGTGAAGTTGTGAGGTATCTTGATTGGATAGCTTTGTGCACTAAAAATTTTACAGAAAACTTGCTTAATTTTCGAAAAATAAAAAATATGATAAATTTATGTAAACCAGAAAATAACAATACATTGATTGGTCAAAAAAACTTACGTAGCGTCAACTCTGACGAATTCACTTTGACCTGTTACTGGAGTAAGATCAATGAGAGGCCTATCCAATGCATCTAAAATTTGTAACCTGAATCCTCCCTAAAACAAAAAAATAGATAATATTATAATTTACATAAATAAAATCAGACGTTTATCATTACGTTGTCATTATCATCACGTTTTATTTATTGATTAAAACTTCAATATTGGGTCAGAATTTCCCAAACGGATCACCTTAAATTGAAAAATTTTATTTAAACCTGACATGATGATTTTTTTACTCTTTATAAGGTAAAAAACAATGTCATAAATTTTCAGGCAAAAAAAAAATTTTTTGTAAAAGTTATTAACAATTAAAGTTTTTGGTAGTGTTAAATTAAATAATTTTTTTCTCGAGTTCTAATTGACCAATTTAAAAATTAAAAAATGGGTTTTTTCGTCATGAAATGTAGTATTCAAAAATAATTTTTGTTTAAAAAATTTTTCATTTTTAATAGTTTTTTATATTATTTGTTTATAAAATGTTAATAACAAATAGTGTTCTCCATGTCCTTACAAAAAAAGAAAAATTGTGTTGCATTCCTCAAACATCTCCGAGCCTAAAACCGTTTAGAAAAAAAATGAGACTTAATTAGGGAAAAAGTTATTAATTAAAAACGATGGGGGTGCGAAGCGATACGTGACGTTACTCTGGTCGCGCAAGCGCACAGCACTGTTGGCACTACCCGGAAACTATATACAGTTTCAATTGTTATTATATTCACATAATACTTTTGTTATATTATATAATATATATTATAATATATAATATTATATAATTATATTATTATTATAATTATATAATAATATAATTAAATATAATTATATATATGGGTGATTCCACGTCAGATTTTAGTTCAAATTTTAAATTCGTCCAAAACTATTTTTTTTTCATTCTTCATAGTAAAAAAACGTATACTTATTTTTTTTTTTTTTTGGTGCCCAAATTTTTGAGTTATGAATTTTCAAAATTTTGGTTTTTGAAAAGTAGACCTATTTTCAACGACCTACAACTTGAAAACTATTGAATTTAGAAAAATTTCATTAAGAGAATAAAGTTTCGATTTTTTGTCGACTTTTTAATAATGTCAAAAAAAAAATTATTTTTGAATTTTTATTAAAAAAATAATAATTTTTTATAAACAAATTCATTTTTTTTCAATTTGAACATTTTTTTTTAATTTTTTTTTTCATTAGATACCTGAAAATAATAAAAAACGTTTGCATAAAGTTTTGAAGTGGGCCAGATTAGTTTAATGGGTGAAAATGAATTTTTAAACTCTGCGTGCAAGTTGAGCGCGCGACGTACAATCCAAATTTTGATAGTTTAAGTAGGAGTGTTATTTTAAAGTTAGTTTTTAATTTGTTTTTTTTTTTATTTTATAACATATCTATTACAATTAATACTTTAAAATAATAATACTGATAATATAATTATTAACGTCGCTCGCTCAACTTGCACGCAGAGTTTAAAAATTCATTTTCACCTATTAAACTCATCAGGCCCACTCCAAAACTTTGTGCAAACGTTTTTTATTATTTTCAAGTATCTAATGAAAAAAAAATTTTAAAAAAAATGTCCAAATTGAAAAAAAATGAATTTGTTTATAAAAAATTATTATTTTTTTAATAAAAATTCAAAAATAATTTTTTTTTTGACATTATTAAAAAGTCGACAAAAAATCGAAACTTTTTTCTCTTAATGAAATTTTTCTGAATTCAATAGTTTTCAAGTTGTAGGTCGTTGAAAATAGGTCTACTTTTCAAAAACCAAAATTTTGAAAATTCATAACTCAAAAATTTGGGCACCAAAAAAAAAAAAAAAATACGTATAGGTTTTTTTACTATGAAGAATGAAAAAAAATAGTTTTGGACGAATTTAAAATTTAAACTAAAATCTGACGTGGAATCACCCATATATATAATTATATATAATTATATTATTATATAATTATAATAATATAATTATATAATATTATATATATATTATATAATATAACAAAAGTATTATGTAAATATAATAACAATTGAAACTGTATATAGTTTCCGGGTAGTGCCAACAGTGCTGTGCGCTTGCGAGACCAGAGTAACGTCACGTATCGCTTCGCACCCCCATCGTTTTTAATTAATAACTTTTTCCCTAATTAAGTCTCATTTTTTTTCTAAACGGTTTTAGGCTCGGAGATGTTTGAGGAATGCAACACAATTTTTCTTTTTTTGTTAGGACATGGAGAACACTATTTGTTATTAACATTTTATAAACAAATAATATAAAAAACTATTAAAAATGAAAAATTTTTTAAACAAAAATTATTTTTGAATACTACATTTCATGACGAAAAAAACCCATTTTTTAATTTTTAAATTGGTCAATTAGAACTCGAGAAAAAAATTATTTAATTTAACACTACCAAAAACTTTAATTGTTAATTTAACTTTTACAAAAAATTTTTTTTTTGCCTGAAAATTTATGACATTGTTTTTTACCTTATAAAGAGTCAAAAAAACATCATGTCAGGTTTAAATAAAATTTTTCAATTTTAGTTGATCCGTTTGGGAAATTCTGACCCTATTGTTGCTTAATTTTTACATTCTCATCATAATGAGAAAGTATTACTTTTACAAAAAATTTTTTTTTTGCCTGAAAATTTATGACATTGTTTTTTACCTTATAAAGAGTCAAAAAAACATCATGTCAGGTTTAAATAAAATTTTTCAATTTTAGTTGATCCGTTTGGGAAATTCTGACCCTATTGTTGCTTAATTTTTACATTCTCATCATAATGAGAAAGTATTACATTTGGGCGATTTTGAGCATTCTCTAATTCCAGTGAATCTAGACGTTTTGAGACTTTCTGATGCCGAAAAAATGGGTCTTAAAAAATGTTTGTCTGTATGTATGTCTGTAGACAAAATTTGTCCGACGATAACTCGAAAAAATTTTAATGAATCGACTTCAAATTTGGTATACACTTTAAGTGTACCAAAATCTCGACTGAGTTCTTTGGCCAGATGATTTCGTCAAAAATCAACAAAATTATTCAATTTTTGAGTTTTTAAAAATTTCAAAAATTCGCATTTTAAAACAAAAATTTTTTTTGAATTTTTTTTCGAAAAAAACGAGTAAAAAGAAACATTTTTTTCCTCTGACAATTTGTAATAGCGATTAAAACAAAAAAGTTATACCTCTTTTTTTAAAAAAAGACAAAAACGGATGAAAAATGGGTAAAATGCATAACAAAATTACTTCATTTTGAGAAAATAAGAGCAACTACACTGTAAAAAATTTCGGAATTATTTCCATTAAAATAATCGGCAATATTTCCAAAAGTGGAAGAAAAATGATTATTCCTAACACTTTGATAGAAATAATTCTGAAATAGGAGTATTTTCCAAAAAGTTGGAATTTCTTCCAGTAAGTTAGAATTTTTTCCTGAAATTGGGAGAGTTTTACGATTTTAATGGATTTTTATCCAAATCTTAGAAAGTAAATCCTATGTGAGATAGAAATATTTCCAAAACTGGAATTTTTTCCAAACATTAGGAGAAATTTCCGAGTTCAATAGATTTTTATCCTAATGATAGGAAATAAAATCTGTTTGAAATAGAAATATTTCCAAAACTGGAATTTTTTCCAAACATTAGGAAAAATTTCCGAGTTCCCCTCTTCCAGTATCTTATGAGTTGGAATTCATAAGAAGATTATCCGAACATCAAAAATATGTATTAAAGGATTTTTCTTTTACGACTTCAAGGAAATTGGCGCAGTTGGCTGTGGCCAAATTTCCCTTAGTTTTCCAAGTTAAAACGTGGTCAACGAATGTGGATGAAGAAAACGCAACCGATAATAGTATATGTTGTTCTGGTGTCGATCGTCTGCATCATCGATTATATGACCGAGTAAGAAAATCAACCCCCAAAACCAACAAAACGTAGAAGAGTAAATTATCGTGATATAGAAATATGTACATCTAATGGAGATTTTTCTAGATACGGAAAAGATCAAGGTACGTACGGTTGTGTAGCCTATGAGCCATCTCTTCCCGATGGAGAAACAAAGGAAAATCAAAATAAAAAAAAACATTTATTGCTAAATTCCTTGTTGAATCCCGAACAAACACTGTCAATTGTGGAAACAAAAAATTATTTATCAGAATCATGTCCAACGCAACGAATTTGTTTGAATAGAAGAAAAATGCAAAATTTATCTCTTCAAATGATTCAAAAAGATCATTGGCCGCATTTATTTATAAAGGAGCATTTCTTGGATCATTGCAACACTCTTCTAGGGAAAAATATATTGAGTGTGTGGCAAAATAACACCGCCAAAACATCAACCATTTATGACTATTTTTTTAATTATATCAGAAAATTTAAATCTTCTAACAAGATGCCTGAAAATATTCAAAATATTCAGACCATCTTAAATGATATTAAAGCAAGATCAGAGCAGTTGAGAAGTCAGTACCCAGAAACGGTGGGTTTTATTCAGCTCCTTTCAGCATACTTTAAGGAAACTGATCTTTATGTATTGACAGTAAGTTTTTTAATTAAAAGCTTCATGAACAATATGTCTTTATCTTACTTAACGTTATAAATTGTATTTTCAGAATCAAGAAGCTACAAGTGAGGAAATAAAAAATTGTACTGATTCGACTCGACCAATCCTAATTGTTCAAGGTAAACACTAAAATAATGCAATTTTTCATATTAATTAAAAGAACCTTCTCATTCTTTTCAAAAATTTGAGTAATTAAAAATTCCACTTGATAAAAATAACAATTTTTTTACAACTCCATATAACTTTATAAAATTGACATTTTTGTTAAAGGAGGTTGATGATTTTGTAATTTATATATATGAATTTTGAATTTTAGGACTTTCGATTTATCAGGAGACTTGCGTAGCGAGTGTGGTGGTGGAGAAAACAAGTCTTGCGAAGTCGGACTGCCTGTTGGAGGGTTTACTTTTATTTTTATTAAGTCATTATATGTACGGTTATAACTACCACGAAAAGAAGTCATCCTCTTTGGAATTTATACAAAGGTAATTAATAAGAA